AAGTAGAATTCCCCTGGTTCAATCCCCAGTACCAAAAAAAGAGGGGAGGAAACCAAATACATATTTCACATTATTTTAACCCCTTCCTTAGTGTCAAATGATGTTATTTTTCACAATATATTTTGCTCTGAAGTCTACTGATTTGAATATAGCCACTGAAAATGTGTGTGGTTTTTAAAAATTTATTTATTTATTTATCTTAATTAGGTATATATGACAGAATGCATTTTGATTCATTGTACACAATTGCAGCACAACTTTTCATTTCTCTGGTTGTGGGTAATGTAGCATGTCACCATATGTGCAGTCATACATGTACCTAGGATAATGATGTCCATCTCATTCCACTATCTTTCCTGCCCCCATGTCCCCTCCCCACATCTCCCTCCCCTTTGCCCAATCAAAGTTCCTCCATTCCGCCCCCCCTCCCTCCACACACACATACATTATGTGTGTGAGTGTGTGTGTGTGTGTTTTAACTGGAGATTGAACCCAGGGCGTCACCCATGCTAGTCAAGTGCTGTAGCCCTGAGCTATATATCCCAACCCTCATTGTAGCTTTTTCTTGATTAGTGCTATTATGATAAAACTTTTTCAACCCTTTYTTTTTTTTAATGGTACTCCAAATTTAAGCCAGGGGTACTTCACCACTGGATTACAACCCCAGCCCTTTTTTATTTTCTATTTTCAGACAGGGTCTCACTAAGTTGCCGAGGATGGCTTCATACTTGTGATTCTTTTGCTGTAGCCTCCCAAATCACTGGAATTACTGGCGTGTGCTACTGTGCTTTCAAACTAGATTTCCTGTTTGTTGGGGAGGTCAGTACTGGTGATTTAAATCAGGGAAGCTCTATGACAGCTACACCTCCAGCTTTTTTTATAATTTTTTTTTTTTTTGAGACAGGGTCTTACTAAATTGCTTTAAATTTGTGATCTTCTTGCCTCAGACTTCTGAGTTGCTAGGATTACAGGCATATGCCACCATGGATTAAAATGGATTTCTAGGGCCATGGATGTAGCTTAGTTGCCAGAGCCCTGGGTCAATTCCCACTCCTGCAAAAAATAGATTTCTTGTAGGAAGAATATAGTTGGATTTTCTTTAACCCAATCTGACAATCTTTTGGGGGCTAGGGTACAGCTCAGTGGTAGAGCTCTTGCCTAGCATATGCAAGACCCTGGTTTCAATCTCCAGCACTGAAGAAAAAAAAAAAAAAGAAGAAGAAATGCGGAAAGAAAAACTCCATATGTTTATTAAAACCTATCCTGGGGCTGGGGATGTGGCTCAAGCGGTAGCACACKTGCCTGGCATGCGTGCAGCCCGGGTTCCATTCTCAGCACCACATACAAAGAAAGATGTTGTGTCCGCTGAAAACTAAAAAAATAAATAAATAAATGTTAAAAAAAGTAAAAATAAAAAAATACCTATCCTACTTTAAATATGCTCAGAATACTTACATTAACCTCCAGATGGGCAAAATCATATTACAAAAAACCTTGTTTATAAAGTGTTGAATATCTCATGTACACACATGTTAATATTTTGTGCAGGATGGGATCCGGAAGCAGAACAATACCCCAAAAACACCGACAATATAAAACACTGTAGACCATTAGTTATTTTTTTACACTTGTGATTACTTGACTGACTGGGATTTGCTGTTGCCAACAAGTAAAGAGGGCATGTTACAGGCTGGGGTTGTGGCTCAGCGGTAGAGTACTCACCCAGCACACATGAGGCCCTGGGTTTGATCCTCAGCACCACATAAAAATAAATAAATAAAATAAAGGTATTGTGTCTAACTACAACTAAAGTATATGTAATATACATACATACATACATATATATATATATATATATATATATATATATATATATATATAGAAGTAGGATTTCTACTGAAAGGGTAGAAATTCACATCATTGCAAAGTTAAAAAATGATAAAATTGGGCTGGGGTTGTGGCTTAGCGGTGGAGCACTCACCTAACATGTGCAGGGCCCTGGGTTCGATCCTCAGCACCACATTAAATAAATAAATAAAATAAAGATTTTTTAAAATCGTAAAATTAACCATCATAAATTGGTTACCCCTGTCTCAAAAATTTAAAAAGGGCTGGGGAGGCAGCTCAGGGGTAGAGCATTTACCTAGCATGCATGAGGCCCTATGTTCAATCCCCAGTGCCACAAAAAAGAAGGCAAAAAAATTTTTTTTCTTGAGGAACAGAAAATTTTCAATTACACTCCTAGCCATGCTTGTCATCTTTGTTTATTAATAACTATTGACCTGATAAACAATACAGAAGCACTATGAGATAGGCAATAGCATAGACATTTAAAATTTTAAAAAACAGTTTGAAGTGSTTGGTGAATTGGCATCAGCAGAACCTGAGGTTGGGGAGTGTCCTTCCTAGGTCTTCTCTGATTGTATGATTTTGTTTTACTTTTTTCAAATAAGTGGCATTTTTGTTTGTAGTATGGCAAGTAATTTTTTTTTAAGTTATATTTGGACACAGTGCCCTTATTTTATTTATTTTTATGTGGTGCTGAGGATCGAACCCAGGGCCTCGGACGAGTGAGGCAAGCGCTGTACCCCTGAGCCACAATCCTAGCCCAAAAAGTAATTTTTATTTTGTGCTTTTCTATGTTTGCCAATTTTATATAAAATGCAAATAACGTGCATTTTATATAAAATAACAATAACAAAATGAAAAAGATTATTTTTTGGTAGGAGTAACAAATGCATTTGCTTTATCTTCTTAGGTTTTGCTTGTTTTATTATGAACTCCCATTTTTACCCCGTTTGTTTTCAAAATTTAATGAGCATTCCTGAATACTGTTCCTAGTTACATGGTTCTTCTATTATGTGTTGGGATTCCATCTTATTTTCTTTCTACCGGTCTAACTCTTCCTCCATGAATGGCAAGGGAATAGAGTTTCTGTTCTGAAGGATCTAATTGTCTTGAAATATATTGTTTTATACTTGTTTAAATGTTCATATTTCTTATTCAATGTGAAGCCCCATTGTTGAAGAATTTTCAGTAAATAGTCCAGAGTCTGTATAAAGTTATAAATTTTATTTATGTCCAAAATACTGAAAATTCTGTTCAACATTGCTCAGTTTCCTGAATATTTTTCTTATTAGCACATTACAAAATATGTTTCTTTCCCCTTTTTTGCTGGGGGCCATTTAAACACTGAGCGAAATCCTCAGTCCTTTTTTGTGTTTTATTTAGAGACAGGGTCTCACTGAGTTGCTGAGGCTGCCTTTGAACTCTCAATCCTCCTGCCTCAAACTCCGGAGCTGCTGGGAATATAGGCATGTGCCACTACACTCGGCTGTTTCTTTCCTTTAATATAATAAATCTATTAGAGGCAATAGCTAATAAACACTTTGAATTTTTTTAAAAAATTGGTTACTGAGCATACTACAGGGACACAGCCACATCAATGTTTATAGCAGCACAATTCACAATAGCTAGAATGTGGAACCAACCTAGATGCCCTTCAATAGATGAATGGATTTTAAAATGTGGCATTTATACACTATGGAATATTACTCAGAACTAAAAAATAACAAGATCGTGGCATTTGCAGGCAAATGGATGGCATTAGAGCAAATTATGCTAAGTGAAGTTAGCCAATCCCTAAAAAAACAAATGCCACTTGTCTTCTCTGATATAAGGGGGGTGACTCAAAATGGGATAGGGAGGAAGAGCATGAGAAGAAGACTACCACTAAATAGGGAAGAGAGGTGGGAGGGAAAAAGAGGGAGAAGRGGAATTGCACGAAAGAGGGAAGGAAAACCTCATTGTTATACAGAATACATATATGATGTTGGGATGAGAAAAAGAAAAAAAGGTGTGTCACATTAGATTGGATAGAGAGAAAGGATGGGAGAGGAGGGGAGGAGTAGGGGGGATAGGAAGGGCAGCAGAATAGAACAGACAATATGATTGATGTATGTACATTCCATGTATGTATTATATGTCAAAATACATTCTGCTGTCATGTATGACTAAAAAAATAAAAATAAATCGTATGGTAAAAATAAATAAAATTGAAAAAAAATTGGTTACCAACTGTATTTGTAGTTTTTGGATATTAGTAGTTGGACACAATATTTTATTTATTATTTTATATGTGGTGCTGAGAATGGCACCCAGTGCCTCACACATGCTAGGCAAGTACTGTAYTACTGATCCACAACCCAAACCCTGTATTTGTATTTAGTTCCTCCTATATAGTAAGTCACAGTGATTACCCAAAAACGAGGTGTACACAGGTGAATAAAGCCATAAATCAGGCACGGTGGCACATCCCTCTGATCCCAGTTCCTTGGGAAGCTGAGGCAGGAGGATCACAGGTTCAAGGCCAGCCTAAGCRACTTGTGAGACCCACCTCACAAAATAAACAAGGGCTGGGGTATATCTGAGCAGTAAATCACCCCTCCCTCGCTACAATCCCCAGTATCAGAAAAAATAATAAATAAAGATCCCAATATACCTGTAATCCCAGCGGCTAGGGACACTGAGGCAGGAAGATTGTGAATTCAAAGCCAGCCTCAGCAATTTAGTGAGGTCCTAAGCAACTCAGCAAAATCTTGTCTCTTAATAAAATATAAAAAGGGCTGGGGATGTTTCTCAGTGGTTAAGCACCACTGAGTTTAATCTCCAATACCAAAAAAAAAAAAAATTAGAGAATAAGACTTAGAATCTCCTACCCAGAAATCACATAAATCCCTATCTTTTCCCTTGACACTTGCTTTGAAGAGTAAAGGAACTTTGCCTGGTCCAAGTTTAGGTCTAGGGTATGTTACCTTAGAGTGACATTGATATAGGCCTGGAAAAGCAGGAGCCACAAAGGAAGAAGACCTGTTTGTCAGGACTGGAGCAAAGGTGGAAGGACAAAGTCTGGCCCAGGAGAAGGTGGTAAATGTTTGTGAATGTTCACTGTTTTCAGAAGGCATCCATTATTTGGTTAGGGAAAAAGAGGGTAAAGTCTACAAAGAACTGTTCAGACTAGAGAAACCCTGAGGTGCCAGACGTGTTTGGACCAACTCATTCCTCTAGCTGTTTCTATCCAGAACAGGTAAAGGGTCTCCTATAACCTGTAGAAGTGGGAGGTGAAGCTATGTCCAGGGTAACTGAAATTTGTAAGGCTAAGACACTTCCTTAGCTTGATATCTAAGTCTTGATATCACTTCCTCCTGGGCCTCTCCCCACATCCCTACCTGAGCACTTCATCTTTCCAACAGGGCTGATCCACTGACCCACAATGACCCAAGCCAAGCTGTTCCTTTGCTGTGTCTTCCTGTCCTCAGTGACTGGCTTTCCAAGAAGAACCCAGAATGAGGCCCTGAAGATCCAGCCATCTTTCACAGAGACTGAGCACCCAACACAAGAGCTCTCCAGCCAGCTTCCTCTCCCAGATCCCAGCACCTGCCAGGATCTCTTGCACACAGTTCCCTCCTTAGCCCCTCTGCCTGAGTACCTGTCCAATTTAGCTCTGAGGGTGGTCCTGGAGGACGCTGGCTGCCCAGCTGAGGCTCACTATCTGCAGCTTCAGCTTACTAGGGTGGGAAGAAAGGACCTCACTGAAACCCTCATCCATGAGAGCCAAAAGCATACTCAGGAAGAAAGAACTGGCAATAATGAGGCCATTCTGAGGGATTTGGGGGGAGTGTCAGGGGAGCTGAGAAGGGTCCAACGCTCAGTTACCCTGCCTGAGGTATGTGCCTCTGGCCATGGGTGGGTGATGTATGAGACAGCAGCACTGATGATTAAATTTGCTGAGAAACTCCCTTCCACTGAGTTGGTAAGAGAGTTCAAGTCGGCTGCCATCACTGTTACCGAGAAGTGCACGGATGAGTCCTGGGAGCATTTAGAGGAAATAGGCAAAAGGCTGATAAAAAGCCCAGACATTAAGGATGTCACACTTCCTATAGAAGATGAGATATACTTTTTTGTTCAAATAACAATCCTTCTGAAACGTGTTATTYTAGACTTGCTCCAGAAATTTTTTCAGGCTCACTTTGGGTAGGGAAGCCCTCCAAGTCATCACATTTATTTTTTGTAATGTCTCTCATAGACCTGCATAAAAGGATTGTGCACAGTAGGTAGTTTGAAATGTTGGGGAAAGCTTAGGATAAGTGTACACTCTTCTTTTGATCCAAGTGCTGAAACACTTATGACCATGAGCAGCTTTACTTCTCAGTAGGTACTAGCTCATTTCTTCTTTCAATTTCTCTCTCAGTTGTCAAATGCTGTGACTATTGTAATTTCTTCCATTGATCTTCCTTGTTCTTTCTAATTCCTAAACTGAATGCTGTGTCTTGCTTATGTTAAATTTTTAAACTGAAAAGAGAAATAAAAAGCTGCTGCCATATCAGAATCAGTTTTTGGATCTTTCTTGACTAGGCCACTATGATTCCTTTTGTGACCTGGAAATGGAATATGGCAAGGTCATGTAGGAAATGCCAGTGTGCTTTGAGGCTGAATGCTTGAGCAGTCAGTTCAAATGGGCAAATATTTGTAGAGATTGTGTCCCTTACTGATCTATCATCACCGAAAGCACCTCTCTTCTCTCTTCATGGGACAGGGAACTGGGCAGTATCAGCAACTCCAAGAGCTTTCTCACTTCTAACTGGAACATATGGGTAATTTGGAACCCCATAATTATGTGGAAGTGAAACAGAGGAAATCTTTGGTGATCTGGAATACAGAGACCAAGGAGAACAACTAAGTCCTATTGTCATTTCTTTGACCCAACTTAAAAAGGAATAGGAGCTGAGGGGCTGGGAATGTGGCTCAAGTGGTAGCACGCTCACCTGGCATGCCCGGGATGCTGGGTTCGATCCTCAGCACCACATAAAAATAAAATAAAAAATAAAGATGTTGTGTCCACTGAAAGCTAAAAAAATAAATATTAAAAATAATTTAAAAATCATCTTAAAAAAAAAAGGAATAGGAGCTGAGGTTCAAAGGGTGAGATGTCCTTTAACGGAGCCCTGGATTCTTTTCAGAGCACAGCCCAAGGAAAATAATTCCCATTCTAGCATAGTCTGATCCAGCTAGACATCATTTAAGACCAAACATGACCTGCTCCTGTCTCCTCCTATACTCTGTAGGTGTCATTTCATGTGGACTGCAGCCCAAGAGTTGGTTRGTGCCTTTTTCCTCACATCTGGAGCGGTGGCAGGGAGGCTGCTTGATTATGCTGGATCCAGTTCTCAAAGGCCTTATCTAGGTTCAAAGCTTCAGTCACTTAATCCTTCTATCAGGGATCCTGATAGACTTGCCACTGACCCTGGAGCAGGTTGACTACCAGCCCAACTTCTGGACCTGATAGCTTCATCAAGAGGCTCTTACAATTTTCTTCAACCAAATACAAGGCACCACTAGGACAAAAGCACAAATCCATGACTTAATTATTGTTTCTGAGAGTCCTATGGTTTATACAAAAAGACTAGGCACAGAAGGGACATGTAGTAATTTTTGACAAGCTGTAGGTGTGGTGTTAAAATCAATGAACCAGCTAGTTTAATAGCTATAAAACAGGCAATTCTTAAAAAACTGAATAATTAACAATTATTACCAATATCCAGATACAGTGGTGCATGCCTATAGTCACAGCTATTCAGGAGGCTGAGACAAGAGGATCAAGTGAGCCCAGGAATTTAAAACCAGTCTGAGTAACTCAGGGAAACCTTATGTCTTTTTATAAAATGTAGGGGGAGGATTACATATGCCTGTAATCCCAATGGTTTTGGAGGCTGAGACAGGAGGATTTCAAAATCAAAGAGCCTTAGTAAGGACCTAAGCAACTTAGCAAGACCCTGTTTCAAAACAAAAAATAAAAAAGGACTGGGGATATGTCTAATCAGTTAAGTGCCTCTAGGTTCAATCTCTAGTAACTCCCCAAATAATAATAATCTCACAGCACTACAAAAAAAATCATMAATTCCCTTCTCCAGATATAATACAAAATAGAATATATTCAACTATGATTTTGACAGCCTGTATTACCCATACTGGTGGCGGGAATTCTTTTTACCTAATAACAGACACAAAAAAAAATTTAATAAAATTGTGTGACTCCTTAAATCACATATATGCTTACCTTATTCTKCTAGGCTCTGGGCACTACAACAGGTTTAAATTTACGAAACAAAAATCAGATGCCCTAGATGCTAAAAGGGAGAGATGTGGAGAAAGCCACACAGTCCTGCAAGTCTTCTGAGATACGATAATGCATAAATATGAAAATCAGAGGTGACAAATCATAACAGTCCTTGTGGAAATTCCAGAATGACAGTGATCTTCTGATTGAAGAAAAGAGGAGGAATCTAGGGGTATATCATAATAGAATCAGTTACAATCTTAGGGACTATATGATTATCAGACTTCTACTGTCCAACAGAATTTTAGAATACAATGAAAATATTCTATGTCGGCACTGTTCAATATCTTCTGAACACATATCTTCTGAACCCTTTAAATATTACTAATGTAACTGAGCATTGGATTTTTTTGAAGTTTATTATTTAAATATCTATCTATCTATCTATCTATCTATTTAGTTGTAGTTGGACAAGATACCTTTATTTTATTTATTTATTTTTATGTGGTGCTGAGGATCAAACTCAACACCTCTCTACCGCTGAGCCATAATCCCAGCCCCCTAAAATTTATTATTACTTTTTTTTCTTGGTAGTACATAATAATGTCTCTAAGTGTATTTGCCTCCCCACCCCAAATTCATAAGTTGAAGCTTTATCACCCAATATGACTGTATTTGGATATATAGCCTTTAAACTATGTATCTGTATATATATTCAGATCATGAATTCAGATCATAWAGTTAAGTGAGGTCATAAGTGGGGGACCCTAAACCAATAGGACCCTGTTGAAGTTGAAGCAGGACGATTGCAAGTTCAAAGTCAGCCTCAGCAATTTCGCAAGGTCCTCAGCAACTCAGCGAGACACTATCTCAAAATTAAATATGAAAAAGACTGAGGATGTGGCTCAGTGATTAAGCGCCCCTGGGTTCAATCCTTAGTACAAAAAAAAAAAAAATGATCACCAGCTATTCTGTCTTACCTTTCTTCCCCTCCAGAAGATACAGAGGACCTTTCCTACTCAATTATAGGTCTAATGTAAAACCTTAGAAAAACAAAGGTACAGGCCAGGACCAGCAAAGCCAAAAGGGGAAAGGTCAGTTTGTCAATATGGGGCAAAGATGAGAAGGACAAAGTCTGGGCCAGGAAAAGATGCATAAATATTTGCAAATGCTATATCTTTAACTCTTTTGGAAGTCATCTGCTCTCCGGCTTCCTTATGATTCTGGCTGGAGTAAGGGAGGAGAAGGAATTAAAAACAACAGTGATTCAGATTATGAAGATATCAAAGCAAATGAAATGTTTGGACCATCTTCTTCCTCTAGCACTTTTCTTCCTCAAACCAGTGAGGGTCTCCCACAACTTGTAAGGGTGAAGAGGAAGCTTATGTCCAGGGTAACTGAAGTTTGTAAGAGCTAAGATACTTCCCAGCTCTGACCAATCTTGATATCTCTTCATCATGGCCCTCTCCCCACATCCCCACCTGAGCACTGTTTCTTTCCAAGAGGGCTGATCCACTGAGCCACTATGACCTAAACCATGCTTTTCCTTTGCTGTGTCTTCCTGTCCCCAGTGGCTGGCTTTCCAAGAAGTACCCAGAATGAGGCCCTCTTTCACAGAGACTGAGCACCCAACACAGGAGCTCTCCAGCCAGCTTCCTCTCCCAGATCCCAGCCCCTGCCAGGATCTCTTGCACACAGCCCCCTTCTTAGCCCCTCTGCCTGAGTACCTGTCCAATTTAGCTCTAAGGGTGGCCTGGACGAGGTTGATTGCCCAACTGAGACCCACTATCTGCAGCTTCAGATTATTAGGGTGGGAGAAAAGGACCTCACTGAAACCCTCAACCTTGAGAGTTAGAAGCAYAAAGAGGAGGAAGGGATTGACAGATAGTACTAAGTACTGGTTGAACTAATACTAATATATTTGTTATTCTTAAGGATGTAGTGGTCCTTCAGGGAAGCTGGAATAAACTCAGCACTCATCTACTCRCTCTGAGGAAAGTATTGATAATGGTAAATATTATGGGTTGGCCCGTCTACCAGTATGCTCAGATGGTGATTGAATCTGCTGGGAAGCCTTCTCCCATATGGATGGCATCACAGTTCAAAGCTTTTGCTAGAACTGCAAGTGTAAGTCTTGGGAGCATATTGAATAATTAGACAAAAAGCTGAAGAATCAGGCTGAGGATATAGCTTATTTAGTAGAGTGCTTGCCTTGCATGCATAAGGCCCTGAGTTTAATCCCCAGCAACACATACACACACACACACACACAAAAAAAAAAACAAAAAACAAAAAACAAAAAAAAAACCTAAAGAATCCCCTATTAACTAAGAATCTTTCAGGGATGGGGGGTGTAGCTCAGTGGTAGATTGCTTGCCTGGCATGTGTGGGGCATCAAGTTCCATCCTCAGCACTACATAAAAACATAAATAAAGGTATTGTGTTGATCTACAACTAAAAAAAATTTTTTAAAGAAACTTTCATGTTCATAAACAATGATAACATAATGTACCAAATATTCCGTAACTATTCTGAAGTGCTGTATGAGGAAAGTGATTCAGGARTCATGTAAGCTTACTTCAGATATTCAATACCACATAGCAGAGAAGTTTTACCCAGGACTATGTTCATGGGATTCAGTAGGTCATTAGAAGTGTTGGAGATTGTTTAGGACAGATGCATTTTCTCTATTTCATCCCTGTGCAAACATACATATGACTGGCATTATTCTTGCCCCTCTCCACTTACTAGGTCTCAGTCCTTATTTATTTATTTATTTATTTATTTATTTATTTATTTATTTATTTATTTATCTTTTTATTTATTTATTTTTTCAGTACTGAGTATTGAACCCAGGAGTGCCTTACCACTGAGCTACATCAATGACCAGCACTTTTTAAAAATTGTTGTTTTTGAGCTGGGCATGGTGGCGCATGCCTGTAATTGCAGCTGCTTGGAAGGCTGAGGCAGGAAGATCSTGAGTTCAAAGCCAACCTCAACAATGGCTAGGCTGAGCAATTCAGTGAGGCCCTATCTCTAAATAAAATCCAAAATAGGGCTAGGGATGTGGGTCAGTGATTGAATACTCCTGAGTTCAGTCCCCAGTACAAAAAAAAAGTTGTTTTTGAGACAGAATTTTACTAAGTTGTGAGACTGGTCTTGAACTTATGCTCCTTCTGCCTCAGCCTCCCAAGTCGCTGGGATTACAGGTGTGTGCTACCACAACGGACTTCTCAGCCCTTATTTCTCATCCCATTTTGCCCCTCTTCTTTCTTTCAATCATCAAATATTGTGCATTTAATACATACAAGGAATAAGAGGTATTTTAATCTTTATTATCTCCCCTTTCCTTCCTTCCTTCCATCCTCTCTTGATTGAACCCAGGGGCACTCTACCACTAAGCTACATCCCCAGACCTTTTTACTTTTTGAGACAGGGTTTTGCTAGGTTGCCCAGTCTGGCCTTGAACTTGGAATCCTCCTGCCTCAGTCTCCCAAGGAGCTGAGATCAAAGTGGTTTACTACCCCACCTGGCTCCCTCATTCTTTCTAAAACCCCAACTAGATGCTAGAGCTTGCTGATTTATTTTAAAACTGAAAAGAGAAATAAAATGAAAGACTTATGAACATCTAATCTTTCCTGATTCTGAATCTTCCTGGCTTCTATCATGAACTGAGTGGCAATTTGGCAGGACATATAGGGAATATCAAAGGACAAGGTCTTAGGAATTGAGGTTGACAAGTGGAAAGGTCTGAACACCCAGTACAAATGGACAAATATTTGCAGATATTACACCCCTTACTGATCACAGGGTAAAACAAATATCTCCTTTCCTCCTGGGACAGAGAACTGGGCAGAGCAGGACAGAGAAGCAACCAAACCTTCCAAGGCAGTGTCACTTCTCAATAGCTGGACTGTGTGGTAATTTGGGGCCTCTAAAAGTGGGTGGAAATAAAACAAAGGAATTCCCTGTGACCTGAAAACGGGAGAAACCAGGTGGGAGCAACTGGGCTGCATTTCCCATTTCCTAAGCCCTGAATTGAAAATAGAGGCTTTAGCCAGGCACAGTGGCACAAGCCTGTAATTCTAACTATCTGAGACTGAGGAAGGAGGATTGCATATTTGTAAGCCAGTATTGGTAAGACTGTATCGCAAAATAAAAAGGACTGGGGATGCAGCTGAGTTGCAGACCTCCACTAGGTTCAACCCCCCAGTATCTCAGGAGAACATTTTTTATTTATTTATTTATTTTTTTAGTTCTCCGTGGACACAACATCTCTGTTGGTATGTGGTGTTGAGGATCGAACCGGGGCCGGCGCGCATACCAGGCGAGCGCGCTACCGCTTGAGCCACATCCCCAGCCCAGGAGAACATTTTTTAAAAAAGGAACAGAAGTCTGGAGGTAGGTGATAGATGATGCATGTGTCCTTTAAGTGAGTCTTGAGCTCCTTTCAGACTATAGCCCTTAGAGAAATGGTTGATTATGTTTTGGATTTCTCCCTTTTCCAGGGTACTCTGCTTCAGACATGTATAGCTTCAGATTCATCATGATACCAGTTGAGCTTCTTCTTTGCCACCATCTGCTGCATTCTGTGGATGCCATTTCATATAGAAAGCAGACAAATGTCTCTATGCACCTTTCCTCATCCTTGGGATCCCCTCCACTCTTCTCAGGCTCCATGTCTTGCCAGAATCTACATCCAAAGTCTCTACCTGGTTTTGCCCACATGGCTCCTCTATCCAAGTTCCTAGTAGGCCTGGCTCTAAGGAACGCCTTGGAGGAAGCTGGCTGCCAACCTGATGCCTGGGCCCTACAGTTTCAGCTCTATCGCTGGGGTGGTGTGAATGCAACAGAGGGCCTCATTCACCATCTTCAAGGACTCCAGAAAGGCAGAAGTACAGACAGCAGAGTGTCAGTGGAAGCCCTCTCCTCTGCTCTGCAACTGTTAGCCAGGGAGCAGCCAGGGCAAAAGAGGGTGAGACGCTCCTTCTCCACTAAGGACTGTGAGAATGAGCAGGAACAAGGTGTGCATAATGTCATCCGTCTATTGCCAGGAGTGGGAACCTACTATAACCTGGGCACAGCTTTCTACTATGCCATTCAGAATTGCTCTGACAAGGCCAAGGAACGAGGTCAAGATGGAGCCCTAGATCTGGGTTATGACCTTTTGATGACCATGGCAGGACTGTCAGGAGGGCCCACAGGTCTAGTGATCAGTGCTGCACTTAAACCAGCATTAAAGGCTGGTGTACAGCAACTGATCCAGTATTATTATGAAGAGAAAGAGACAAACATCCCTCAGCCAGAGACCAGCAAGGAGGGCTTGTGGAGCACCTCAGATGTGAGTGACTTGGAAGAAACAACTACCATGTCTCCTTTGGTCTCAGAAGTAGTAAGTCCAGGGCTGGGGATTTGGCACAGTGGTAAAGTGCTTTTCTGGTATGGGTGAGGCCTTGGATTCAATCCCCAGTACCAAAATAAGAAAGAGAAAGTAGTATATCCAGCTCCCCACTGGGGGTGGAACTTATTCAAGAGATGCGCTTAGATCTTGGTGCTGGGAGTTTTAGGATAGAAAAGTTGTTAACCACAGAATGAATAAATTGAAGATTCTGACATACTGTATCTGCGTGTGCTTAAAAATCCTTGAGGAGGGGCAAGGGATCCAAATCTCCTGATTTTTTATTCAGGAGGAAGATAACTCTATCAAATACAAGGAACTTAAAAGTTTGGGGTTTGAGGGCTGGGATTGTGGCTTAGTGGTAGAGTGCTCTCCTAGCATATGCGAGGCCCTGGGTTGGATCCTCAGCACCACATTAAAATAAATAAAATAAAGATATTGTGTCCAGGGCTGGGGATGTGGCTCAAGCGGTAGCGCGCTCGCCTGGCATGCGTGCGGCCTGGGGTTCGATTCTCAGCACCACATACAAACAAAGATGTTGTGTCCGCCGAGAACTAAAAAATAAATATTAAAAAATTCTCACTCTCTCTTAAAAAAAAAAAAGATATTGTGTCCAACTACAACTAAAAAATAAATATTAAAAAAAAAGTTTGGGGTTTGGAATTAGAAGACAGTCTTGAATCCAAGCTCCATTTGTTATTGCCTGCTGATCACTGAATAAGTAGTCTCTTTCTCGAAGTTSGTTTTAAAAATTTCTAAAGTGGAGATAATGATTTTCACCTGAATGGGTTGTTGTGGAAATTAAAAACGATACCAAGAACCTAAAGTGTTTATCTCTCTACCCTCAATAAATAATAACAACTATTTCTCCTTACCGCAAGCCTCTCCTTTCTATCTTWAAGTATCGAAGTTCTAGTCCCACCTCTTCCCCTCAAGCCCCGAGCGAGCGCTTCCACGGTTAAGTCAGTTTCGATTCAGGGTGGAGGGAGGTTCGGGTTCTCGAAAGTCAGCTGTTTCAGTGCTAGGCTATTCCAACAATTGGACTCCTCCCCTCGCAGGATTCCTCACCAATCACTGGAGCTGGAGGTGTGGCTTGGGCAAAGTTTGTCCCGCCCATTGCAGAGGGCGGAGATGTGATGGCACCAACCCGGGGAAGGGCTTGGTGAGTGGCAGTAGTGCCAGGGCTGAGCTTCTGGGTTCATTTGCGACTCAAGCCCTTTAGGCTTAGAGTCCGAAGGGCGGGACGAAGTCGTGGGCGGGGCAGGAAGCCTTGGTACCTCAGCTACGTTTGAGGACTGGAAGTCTCGATCAGAGCCACTGGAGGGATCGGTTACTGGGACCCTAACGAGGTACCGCCCCTGAGAGAGTGTGGGGGAYTGGAGTGAAGGGGCAAGTTCTTGCCTGGGAAGGGCTGCTGGTCCCAGGGGTTACGGGCTAGACGAGGCAACTTCTGTCTTCTGGTGGTAAATAGGAGCTTTCTGCTGTGTCCTGGATCTTAACCCTCCTGTCCAGCCTAGCTTCCCAATTCTACCTCCCCCTCCCAGAACTCCCCTGCAGCCTCAGAGGCCCGGAACCTGGCATTGTTACATGGATTCGATGTCTTAATCAAAGCTTTTGTCTCTGTCCTGCATTACTTTTTGTCCTTACCAAAAAGCAATGTCTAAAGATAGACATGATGTATCATCCTCTTTGTTAAGTAAAAATGTGTAAGTTGACCTGTGTGGTACCAAATAAAACAAAACTGTCTTTTGCCTGTCACCAAGCAGGCTATACTGGGCATGCTTCTCCCCACTGCCATCTGATGTCTGTTAAGGAAATTAAAACATATTCTTTTTGCATCCTGAGTCTAACTGAACAGAACAAACATGCACATTTGTGTTCTAAAAAGGTCACATGACTTTATACAGAGCAAAGAAAAAAAATTGGGGGTGATGTGGGGGGATTCTTTTCTACTAGGGTGAATTAACATGAGCTGTCCCTCTGAAAATAGGAACAGAGGAGGCAAAGGATTGGGCAGGAACTCCTGTTTTTAATTTTAACCCTTTTTATAATGCTGGATTTCTTCATCTTCCTTTTATTTGCTGTTGCTGGGGGTGGAACCCAGGACCTAGGGCTTCAGATATGCTTGGTAAGGGCTCTACCACTAAGCTGCATCCTAGCTTAGTGCTTGATCCTTTTAAACTATATATGYTTTTTGTTTTGTTTTGTTTTGGTACCAAAGATTGAAGCCAGGGGCACTTAACCACTGAGCCACATTCCCAGCCCTTTTTTWTTTTATTTTTTTATTTTGAGACAGGGTCTTGCTAAGTTGCTTAGGGCCTTGCCAAGTTGCTGAAGCTGWCTTGGAATCCCCCTGCTTCAGAAGCCTTCTGAGCTTTTAGGGTTACAGGTATGCGTCACAGCTCCTAACCAAAAAACAGTTTTGTGAGAAATTTCTGGATCTTAGAGCTGATAATCCACATGGAGAATCAGAGATTGAAAGAGGTCCTAAAAATGTCACAGTCTGGGTTGGAGATGTACATCGCTCTGATGAGCACTTGCCTAGCATCTATGAGGCCCTGGGTTCAATCCCCAGCATTGCAAAAAAAAAAAAAAATCACAATCTTAGGAATTGAATGACCCTTTGCACAGTATTTAGACATCTTCTAGCATGGAACTCCTCCTTCTTAGATGGTGAACAGTTTGYAGGATGTACTTTCCTTACCTCTAAGAAGGTTTCAGTTCCTAAAAAAGCTTCATGGCCAATAGAGATCATAAATATTTACTCCAGCCTAAATGAATATAAACACAAACAAATATGTTTAAAATAAATTAATCCAGGAAGATAGATGAAATAGTGGAAATATTATTATTTGTTAAAGTTGGGTGATGGATACATGAATGATCCTGTCATTGTATTTATGTGTGTGTTTGAAAATTACTATTATAACAAAAAGACCTCACATATTAGAGCTATTGAATTATATTCCYTGGAAGAATATTCACTGAACTATAACAGAGATCATTTTTTTAAATGTTTTTTTTTTAATATTTATTTTTTAGTTGTAGTTGGACACAACATCTTTATTTGACTTGTTTATTTTTGTATGTGGTGCTGAGGATCGAACCCAAGGTCTTGCACGTGTGAGCTCTACCGCTGAGCCACAATCGCAGCCCCCAGAGATCATTTCTGGAGATGAAGGGAAGGAAACAAGATTCAGAGTGGGGTCAACGTAGACCTTAATATTTCTGTTTTTTTTTTAATTTACTTATGTATTTTAACATTTTAAGCTAGTATTAATAATCAATCACAAGACTATGGGTAATTTAGACCAGCAAAATATTCAATTGAGAACCTTCATCCTTTCAACTTAGAGCCCAAATGGCGCAATGGGAGATGCTGCAGAATCTTGATAGCCCATTTCAGGACCAGCTGCATGAGCTCTACTCACAGAGCCTCCTGCCAGTGGACATTCGACAGCACTTGGCTGTCTGGATTGAAGACCAGAACTGGTGAGGGCTTCTGCAGTAGGGGAATGGAGTGGATGAAGAAGATAGGTGATTCCTTTCTCCCGATCCCTGGGGATCCTGGAAACAACCTGGAAGGGATTGGAGGGCCTCAGGACAGCAGCTACCTTGCAGAGATTCTAACCGTTTTCATTCCTGGTCCCCAGGAAGGAAGCTGCACTAGACAATGATAATTCCAAGGCCAGCCTGCTCTAYTTACACTTCTTGGAGCAACTGAACTATGAGATTGGCCGCTGCAGTCAGGACCCTGAGTGCTTGTTGCTACAGCACAACTTGCGAAAATTCTACAGGGACATTATGGTACCGGGATGAGTTGGGAATAAAAAGAATAGAACTGGCATCCAAGTGAAGTGTAGAGTAAGGTTTGRGGTACAAACCTGAAGATGCAAATGGAGAAGAACAGATCTGGGGAAAGAGTCTGGACCTTGGGGATCATTAGCAGAGAGATGGGCAAAGTATAGGTGATAGTGTTGGGAAAATGCTAGAGTTTGGGGTGGAAAAGAGAAAGGGCTGGGGACTTTGAAGGAGGCAAAAATACTAGGAACGTTGGTGGGAGGATCTAGGGTGGCTGGTCATTGAAGATGATTGAATATGATCAATTCTCCCTCTTTTCCTACTCTAGGACTTTCCACAGGGCTCCACCCAATTGGCTGAGATGATCTTTAATCTACTTCTGGAAGAAAAAAGAATTCTGAATCAAGCCCAGAGGGCTCAGGTGGTGAAAACAATTTTATGGTGATTTTGGAAGTCGTGGAATAGAAAGGGGTCCATGGAAAGGACTCCTGGGATTTGTCTCAGAATAGGATCCCCCCACCTCACCCATCCTATGGAATTATTTTAGGGATGAAAGGATTTAAGAGATAAAAATCAGGGTTAAAATTTGCTCAGAGCCTCTTTATTACAGGAGCAAGGAAAGCCAGCCCTTGAARCATCTGTGGATAGCCAGCAGCCTGAGATTGAATCTCGCATCCAGGATTTAAGGGTTATGATGGAGGTTGGTCATTGTGGCATGAGTTGAGGTGGGCAGGGCTTAGCCTTATTCCTTCCTCAGAAGCAGCCTCACTGAGGTCCCATCTCCTCTGTAGAAGCTGGTGAAATCCCTCAACCAACTGAAAGAACTGCAGGAGATCTTCGAATTCCGGTTTAATATTTACAAAAAAGGTAGAAAGCACTTAGAGGGGTGAGAGAAAGACTGGTGGCTGCTGGGAGGGAAAGGGTGATGGAGCACAGAATTGGAAAGTTCCAGTGAGCAAGTCACTTTTGGCCAATTCCACTAATTGCAGTCCTGCTGCCTTGCAAAGCTATAAATGCTAGGGTGTGCTGTGAAAGTTGAGGTGGAAATGCAGGGACRGAATGGAGGAAATGCATGGAAAACTCCATTAGCAGATTGGATGGACTTTGGTCCATTCAGAATTTGCTCAAAGGCCCCCATGTGCCTGTCCTTTTTTTTTTTTCTTCGTTTCCCCTTTTTCCTCCAAAATTTCCCCTCTTTGACTSTGAGATCTGGGCTGGGAAAGAGAGAGGTAGGAGCTCCTGGTCTGACTTCTGCTCTGGCCCTTTAGGGAAGACGTCCTCTTCGGATCCCCATCAGAACAAAGAGCTACAGCTTCTTCAGGAAACTCTCAATGACCTGGACAAAAGGAGAAAGGTGGGAGGCAGGGGATAGAGGGAGTGGGTGGCAAGGAACTGGGAAAATAAAGGGATTTGGGGAGCCCTAGACCCTTAGCCTTGGCTTTTTTTCTCCTCATCCTAAGTTAGATGTGCTGCATACTCACATTATCTCTTTGCCAGGAGGTGCTAGATACCTCCAAAGCAGTGGTAGGCCGATTAACTACCCTAATTGAACTACTGCTGCCAAAGTTGGATGAGTGGAAAGCCCAACAGCAAAAAGCCTGCATTGGAGCCCCGCTGGACCAGGTTGGGTTGGAACGTCTGGAGAACTGGTGAGAGAAAATATATTTTCTCTTGATTATCTTATACACCTTAACCCTAGTCCTGGCCATTTCATATATTTTCTAAGTTGTAATGCCCTGTATACAGCAAAAGATATTCTTCTTACTAGTCTCTGCTCCCCAAAATGATCTCAGCTCCCTTTTCAGACTATAACTGTACTCTATTCTTTGTCCTCACTATCCAGGGAACCCAGAGCCCAGACTTGGGTTAATCCACAACTTGGTTTCTCCTTCCTTTTTTTAAARAAATATTTTTTTAGTTKTCAATGAACTTTATTTTGTTTATTTATATGCAGTGCTAAGAATTGAACCTAGTGACTCACACATGCTAGGCAAGCGCTCTACCACTGAGTCACAACCCCAGCCCTCTCCTTCCTATATATATATATATATATGTAGTTATAAATGGACAGGATACCTTTATTTTGTTTGTTTAATTTTTATGTGGTGCTGAGGATTGAACCCAGTGTCTCACGTGTGCTAGGCAAGTGTTCTACCACTAAGCCACAACCTCAGCCCCCTCCTTCCTTTTTAATTACCCAAAAATATAGGAAGGAAGGAAAGTGACCTATTATCTTTACTACCCTGATTTGTTATTATGTTAATAAACGTTTCATTAGTTTTTTTGTTTGATTTTTTGTTATCAGTAGTAAAGAACTTGCTTAGGATGTATAAGGTCTGAGTTGGATCCCCAGCATGGCAAAAAAAAAAAAAGATATGGGTTCTTCAGTGAGAAGTGAGACTGCCTGGGATCACATATAACCTTTATCTCTTACAGCTGTAGAATCTTGAGCAAGTCACTTAACCTTTCTGTGCTTCAGTTTTATCATTATAAGATGGGGATAATAGTAGTACCTACCTCATGGAATGGAATAGTAGTATCATGGAGTGGTCATAAAGATTAAATGCATTAGTGTGTATAAAGATCTTCATATAAGGGGCTGGGGATGTGGCTCAAGCGGTAGCGCGCTCGCCTGGCATGCGTGCGGCCCGGGTTCGATCCTCAGCACCACATACCAACAAAGATGTTGTGTCCGCCGAGAACTAAAAAATAAATATTAAAAAAA